TTAAAATGGAGGAAGCTCGGGGAATATTTAAATAAGGCAAAAGTAGGCAGCAATCTCTTCTCCATTCCTGCTTTGTTTAATCCTCATCCTTACAGAGACTGATTTTCAAAGCAGGTAGTCCTATATGGATTTTTAAAAGCATCATTTTCACATTTTCAGTGGGATCATTTTTTTTCTCCTACAAGGTAAAGGGCAAAATGTAACAACATAGCAAAATGTACCCTTACAAACTGGAAATATCTTCCAGGTAAGAGGTATAAACTAATAATAACCTTAAATCTGTAACAAATGCAATTCATAAATTCTTCCTCACAAGAATATATTCTTGTAAGTGTCCCTGCCCATGGCAGGGGGGTGGAATGAGATGAGCTTTAAAGTCTCCTCCAACCCTAACCATTCTGTGAGTCACAAACTAAACTTCAAGATTTAATGATTTCTACAATTTTCGTTTCAAACTGAAAAGCAATCCCTTTATTAGGAAGCTGGAGCTGTCCTTTTAGCATGGAATCAAAAGAAAAGCCCATTGTGCTGTGCGTGTGACACAGCCCCCAGCATGGAATCACTGGGATGTGCAGCTCTCCTGCTGCTCCAGGACGTCCTTGGTGATTTCTGCCTGGAACACTCCGCACAACAGTGCCCAGGATTCCCAAAATAAAAGGGCCATCTTTGCTCTGAGATGTTTTTCTATCTCTAGCCACCTTCACTGCTACCAGCCTGGCTTGGCAGGATGGCACGAGGCTTCCTCATGTACTGTGGGACATGTGGGGCATGGGGGCAGCCTGTGCCCCCGGTCCCTGCTCCCTGTTTGCCCAGGCTGGAGAAGGGATGGCTCCAGAACATCCAGATGGGACTCCAGCTCAGCCTTCAGCTACAAGAAGCACATGGAGCAAAGGAAGCTGTGACCCACCTTCTTCTCTCCTTAAATTCATTATTATCAGAGGTGGGAAGCTGATGGTACCTCCCTTTTACCCTGTGGCTGTCTGTGCAGACCAAAGATGGGTGCTACCTGCTGGGGACACTGCCATCATCATCCCTGCTCTCTCCTCTCAGGAAATTTTAACTATTTTCCCATCAGGAAAAAATTCTTCCCTGTGAGAGTGGGGAGGCCCTAGCACAAGTTGTCCAGAAGAGCTGTGGCTGCCCCATCCCTGGGAGTCTCCAAGGCCAGGTTGGACAGGGCCTGGAGCAACCTGGGATAGTGGAAGGTGTCCCTACCCACAGCAAGGGGGTTGAAACTGGATGATCTTCAAGGTCCCCTTCCAACCCAAACCATTCTATGATTCCATGATTCTCTTGCAGCATTCTCTGCCTTGCCCTGCCAGTGTCATAGAATCATGGAATGATTTGGATTGGGAAGGATCTTACAGCTCATCTCATTCTACCTCCTGCCATGGACAGGGACATCTTCCACTACACCAAGTTGCTCCACGCCCTATCCAACCTGGCCTTGAACTCTCCCAGGGATGGGGCAGCCACAGCTTCTCTGGGTAACCTGTGCCAGGGCCTCCCCACCCTCACAGCCCAGAATTCCCTCCCAATCTCTAATCCAAACCTACTCTCAATGTCACACAGTGAGGCCTCACTTTCCAGGTTACTCAAACAGCTTAAATATTGTCTTGTGATACAAGAAGGAACAGGATGTGAAGGTGAATATCTCATGGGATATGGGCAGGAGGAGGATGTGAAGGATGCTGGCTACTCAGGAGGACATTCCACAGTACTGGGCCATGGGCTTTTGCTCACAGGGTCTCCTCTACACTCAGTGTCAACCAAGAGGGACAAAAGTGTTTTTGAAACTCCCAAGAGGAGCCTTAGAGCTGGAGGAGGAGTGGCAGCAAGGATGAAAACCAAGGCAGAGAAAGGCCGTGGGAGGGGAGGAGGGCTCTGACCCCATCACTCCTCACAGTGACGTATTTTCACTGGTCACAAGCACCAGCCAGTGACACGTGAGCACTCCCACAGCCTGACAGCCAAGCATGTGCTGAAACACTCTCTGGATCGAGGCCTTTATCTTTACAAGGAAAACACCATAATCAGATGATCACACAAATGACTTTTAAGCACCGCTGAATCAGTCGGGTTTTCTATACAATCACTCCTTTCAGTTAAATGATCCCAAGTGATGGACAAACATCTGATAAAAATGCCTTTACCTCACAACTGGCTCCATAAAGCACAAAAAGGGCAGCTGCTCCCTTTTCACAGCAGCACAGAGCAATTAAATGGTCTGCACAAGGTCACCCAAGCCATCTGCAGCAGAGATGAGGACAGATAAACAACCTCAGGATCCTCATATCCGATCTGTAACAGGGAATCTGTCCCCCACAGCTCCTCCAACAGCCTTAATCTCCTTCACTTTTCCAGACTTTTAATCAGAAACCTTTTATAAACACAGGCAGCAGAATCAAAGCACTGCTAGAAGAACTATCAGGGTCAAACCCAGCTGAGATACCCACAGAGCTGTGGGAATTCTCACAGGATTTGCAAAGTTTATTATGATTTGCCACCTGAACGATGCTGGCACCTAAGCAAGATTTACTTAATAACACGATGCCCTTTCAAAAACATACAGTCCAGCATGGACCGAGGCATGCCAGCTGTCTTCACTGCTCATGGGGTGTATTTGGGATTTTTCCTGAGCTACCCTTGATGTCAGGATGCCCTGGCAAGTGCTCTGCCACTTGCCTGCACGAAGCAAGCAGTTTGCTGCCTCTGCAGGGATCAATGGCTGATGTCATGAGCAAACCTCTGTAACGATCAGGTCCTTAAATCGATGCGACAGCAAAGGGTAAAACAAACAGATTGCAGGTAGTGATGAGAAAATGCCAACTGCTCCATGCCAGGCAAACACAGCGATGGGGCTTCAGAGAGCTCATGCTCTCCCCTCGTAATTATGGTAATGCCCATCAGCAACATGGGCAATTACGGTAATGCCCATCAGGAGCATGTGGATCTGTGCTGCGATTTTCATTATTAATAATCATCTCAGTGCCTTTTCCAAAGGAATTTAGCACTGATAGCCTTGCTGCACAGATGGGAACTGAGGCACGTGCATGCACAAGGGTGGACACAGGAGGGAATGACTTTTAAGGGTGCTTCCCTTAAAAAGAATTAAAATCAGGAAAAGGGCTCAGTGGTCCCTTCCCTCTACCCAAAACTCCAACCACAGGGCCATGCAATTAACACAATCAGCTGATGAGAAGAGTGCAGATAATGGAAATAAGATGAAGCCCAACTGCAATTTTCCATATCCAAAGACACACGGTGGTACAGCCGACCTTCCCAGCGAGTCACCACACTCTGGAACCATCTGGAGGGTTGTGTGAGAAACAGCCACAGCATTGCATGGAGCTTTCCTGTTTTACATGCTCTGAAGTAACTGCAGAAGTCATCTGCACCAAATTAGGTCTACAAGAATTGAATCATTCTTTGATTACCAGCAGTGACCCTATCCCAGGCATCCTCTGGTTGAGGGAATCCACAGTTTCTTTCCAGCTTTCCAGTCATGTGTGCGGGCGGTAATTTCCTTGATTACCATTGGGAAAGTTCACTCACAGTTCCCCTCTTGCCTGCCCACAGCAAACCCTCACTGCTTAGGATTTTTCTCCACCAGAAGTTGCAATATTTGTATTTACTCCTTCACTGGAGTGTGGGGCAGAAGAAGAAACTTTGGCCTAATTTAAGATAGAATTTGTCAGACGTAGGAGCCCAACTGCATTGGGAGGGCTCTGGCTCTGGGCTCACTGTGTGTGATACGGGGTGACCTTACTGTGGCCTTCCAGTGTCTAAAGAGGCTCCAAGAGAGATGGAGAGGGACTTGGGACAAGGGCCTGGAGGGACAGGACAAGGGGGAATGGCTTCCCACTGCCAGAGGACAGGGTTAGATGGGATATTGGGAAGGAATTCTTGGCTGTGAGGGTGGGGAGGCCCTGGCACAAGTTGCCCAGAGAAGCTGTGGCTGCCCCATCCTTGGAAGTGTCCATGGCCAGGTTGGACAGGGCTTGGAGCAACCTGGGCTAGTGGAAGATGTCCCTGCCCATGGCAGGGGGTGGAACAGGATGAGCTTTAAGGTGCCTTCCAACCCAAACTCTTCCATGATTCTATGGTATGACTCAGATGGGAATGGGGAAATGTCCCCCGTGCTTCAGTATGGAAATTCCCACTCTTCTGGCTCTTTATGGAAGGAGCAACTCTATTTCTCTCTTAGGGAAAGCCATGAAGAAGGACAGACAGTTCTTGGCCTTTTCAGTCCCGCACTGGCTCCAGTGATAAATCCTGCTGTTATTCCTGTTCCTATTCCCCTTTGGAGTACAGCAGCAGAGGTGTTCCTGGTGCATCACAGGCAGAATAAAGACAGGAGGATGTATCCGCTGCTGATGTAAATCCTTTGAAGTCAATTTATACCAGCTGGGGTTCCCTGAGGCCAAGAGTCCTTATGCAAAGAGGCTGCTTAAAAAAGTTTTAGTCATTTGCAGGAGCTGAGGGCAATTCCAAGATAAAAGAGCTGCTCAGATGCTGTGGGGCCCCGTCCTGGAGTACCTATGGAGAGAGGGGTCCCACCCCACACTTTGATGGAGGAATCTCGGTGCAGATCTCCAGTGTGTTAAAGTGTTTATAAACTCCCTTCCCGGTGACCCACCCTTCTGACGCAAACGTTACATCCCTCGCTCCTCCACCGCTCCTAGAAATCCCCAGAACAAAAGGATTTGTGGTACGAGGGTTACTTTCGCCTTTGATTCCGCACAGAAGCAGCTGGGCTGAATCCTCCTCACTTAATTACTCAGGTAAATTACTGCAGGTCCAGAGGCGCAATTAAACTTTGGTGCAACTCCACTTAACAGCTCTACTCCTGGGAATAGTTGGATGCCCAGCTCTGGGAGCTGGGAGGAGCTGACGCTCACCTGCCCGTGTGACGGAGCGGGAACGATAGTCCCATCGGAAATTATTTACACACAGGAGGGAAATTACTCATTCGTGTGTACGGCAACCGGGTCAGACAGCCAGCGTGTAATGCTTCTGTCTGGACCTCTGGGTGATCAGAAGGGATGGATGGGACAGTCCACTGCAGATTTTAAAAAATATGGGATTAATATTATCCCCGTGCTTGAGAAGCTTGAAGCTTGTTATACCCAGCCCTCTCATTGCTGTATTGCACAGAGACCAAATCCTTAAGCAGACCAAACTCCTGGACTTTCAAAGTACGGACCACTTCTTTTGTTGTTTCTTGGCAAGTTTGCAAGTCAAGAGTTAAAATTCTTTAATTTGTAGGAGCTGTAACCCTGCTTATCTGTGTTTTCTTGCTCTCACATCACTTACAGAAAGGACTGTGTCAAACAAATTTGCAGCAGTCCTTGTTACTTCGTAATTCCTACTGATTTTCCTTTCTAGGCACTCACATGGAGGGTGATGGGAAGGTGCATTTAAATGCTTAAATAGAAAAAACAAGCCTGTTTCACCCTAATCAGCACTAAAGGAAAAAGTTTTCAGCTGTATTTCAGTGCCTGAAGAAAAGTGGAATGGTTGCAGTCAACTATCAGTCATTAAAAAAATCAGATGTTTTTGCAACTCTTTCTAGTTCTTGTTTCCTAAAACAATATCATGTTTAATGTGCTAGAAACTATTTTTAATGAGATACAAAGTACTATTTGTTTTTTGGGGTTTTTTTGTTTTCCCTTCAGCTTATTTTTTAAACCAAAAAGTAAACACACGGTTATGAAATCTCCAATTTCACATCAAAGCAGAGTTGATTTATATATATGTTCAAAGGAAGACTTTAAAGGAGCAACATCATGACCAACTTGTTGGCCTGATGTTATTAGAATAATTTAAAAATCCACAATGTAAATGTTGATAAATAAATAGCATGTTGCCATAAATCAGCATGTGGCTGCTCATGAAAGCAATAACATATATCTGATGTAGACAGAACAATATTCAGATTTTACCCGTGAAGTTTAGCATTTCTGAGAGCAGCAGAACCTCCCTTGGGTGGGACGGATTTACGCAACACGGGGTTTAAAAAAGTGATGAATTGGAACCTGAAGCGGAGTGTGCCTTTCCAGCTCATTTCCAGCCAAATGAGACTTGAAATATGCAAATTGCATTCGAATGCCGGAAAGAAAAAACTCCCTATAGGATCCTGCCCAAGGAAAGCACTGTGGATTAGCGCTGCTTCGAAACCATACCGAATTTGTTCATTTCAAAGCAGGCTCGGGGCATGTTACTCACTTGCTGGGAAGGGGTAAGGCAGAGGAAAAACCCCTCCACCCGCTGCGGGGGAATGGGTAAGGTCATGGAGAAACCACCCCCTTTGCTTTCCTGAAAATGGATGTGTCATGTGTTTATAAGGTGTGCCTGCCTGGGTTTGTGTTGGCACACGGAGAAATGCCTGCAGGGCCAAATCTGCTTGCTGCCTCCTCCGGCGGGCAGTCCCACAGCAGCTCCGGCCCAGGAACGCCAGCCTCGGTGTATCCAACACCATGGATGCACCTGGGATCCAACAGATCTTGGCTTAGGTTTACATTTGGGATCCAACAGACCCTGGGTTAGATTTACATTTGGATTGATATGAAATACTAGGACTGGGAGAGTTTAGGATTTCACAGAATCCTAGAATGGTTTGGATTGGCAGGGGACCTCGAAGAACATCTCATTCCAGCCCCCTGCCATGGGTAAGGAGACCTTCCACTAGACCAGCTTGCTCCGAGCCCCATCCAACACTTATTTCTCCCCGTGTGATGTGACAAGGCACACACTGTGTGTCTCCTTGGGTGGAAAAAACACGTCAGTGGGGTTTGGTCCAGCCTGAAGCTTGAATGAAGCTTTGGGTTTCTTTGGAAGAAGCTTGGGTTGATTTCTGCGTCATCCAAAATGCTCTTCCTACATGAAGACTAGGCCTCTTCTAGCCAATTAATACAGACTTAATTAATATCTGGAGTCTACATCTCATCTTACTGGATTTTCTAAGGATTTCCTCCCCATTAATACCAAACTACACAGGGCAAGAACCACCCAGAAGCCCAGCAACGATCTCCACGGAATGGCACTCTCTGTCCATCACTGAAAGGTTCATTTCATAAAATAAATTGTGCTGTTGGGAGGAAGAACCACACAAGTGGCACATCACAGCCAAGGGGTAACTGCTGAGAGCAGTGTCACCTTTCCTGAGAAAGGTGGTACCCATCACCAGCTGAATGCAGTGGGGTGAGTGTTCATACCAGTTTCTCATCCTAGCACTGCCTTTATTCTTTACTCAAATAAGAGGTGAGAAAATAAGAGCAGAAACAAGCAAAAACGCTCATTCTGCAAAATCATTTTTAGAGTTTTACTAGGTGGAAAAATGTTCGTTGTGTTAACTGCAAAGGGAGAATCGGGAAGGAGAGGTGATGAGAACCAGCCCATGCTGAAGGCAAGGAAGCACCAGCAAAATTAAAACCTACAGCAGCTTGTTTGTTGACACAAAGTTGATTAAAGAAAGACCTGATGCAGCTGACAACATCTGTGGCCTGGAGAGCAGATAGTGCTGCAGGAGGCTGCAGATCTCAGACCAAAATCTTGTGTCAGTCACACCCATGCAAACCACACTGCTGAGGCCTTCAGTGCCAGAGGAAGCCAAACAACTACGTAAGGAGAGCCCACAAACCACCCAGCCACTTGCAGGGAGCAGGCAGAGCCATTCCTACTCTTCCGTGGAATCAGGAGATGCCGGACATTTGGATTAAATAACCTGGATTAGAGTCTCAATCTTCAGAAAAAAAACCCAAACCAAATCAAACAAACAACAAACAACTGAGAGGGAAGAGCATTTGTCATTTAACAAGAGAGCAATGCAATTAAACACAGGATTTTGTTAATCGTATGAAGTAGCAATTTAAATTTAATTTAAATTTGAATCAAGCTCTGCAGTCATCATTTAGGCAAATTCAGCTGGGGTTTTACCTGAGTAGGAGAACAGGCTCTGGAAAATTCAAATAACTTTGTGCCCTGAGATGACTTTTCAAAGATGCCCACGATGAAAAAAACTCTGGTAATTTTTAATCGACAGAAGTCTGTTTGCTTCAGAAAACACGGGACAAAAGAGTGAGTCCTGGGAAGAAGTCAGTTTAATTCCTGGCAAGAAGTCAGGATAGCTCTACAATACAGTATCCCCCCCCAAATGTGGTAGTTGGTCCTGCCAAAATGAAAATGAGCCTAATCCAAGCATCAAAACCATACAGAAGGCACTAATTAATGTAAATACATTTAAATGAAAAATCCTTCTCACATAGAGATAGGCAAATGCACTGCAGAATCATTTTTCTGTGCTAAACCAGCACATCATTTAGCTATGCTAAACCAGCAGCAAGGTGAGGCACTTCTGGTTTGTTGGCTTTAAACACTGAGCAAAGGCTTTAATCGGAGGAATCTCTCCCTCTAAAGAGCTCTGATGATGAGTCTTCAACGCACTAAATCTCCACAACATGTCCTGCCTTTGATAACACACCATCTTTCAATTAGGTTTCACTTAGTGCAAATATCTGGATCACCAAGTGCCCCAGTGAATGCAGTTGCTCTGCAACTGGGTGAAAAATTAAGGACTTGGAGTCAGATTATGGAAACTGGCCTGGTCCACAAAATCAGGATCAAAAGTAGGACTGCTCCAAGTATTAAGCCCTGCTTTGAAACCCTTCATAGCTCACCTTCATTTTAAGTGATTTTTCTCTTCTGGGATGTCACATGTCTCCAGTATCCTTGCTTCACTCCAGAGAGGTCCCTGCTCTGAACAGTTAGTCACTCTCTAGTTCTGCCCTCAGATCATGATTCATTTAGAACCTGCCTTTGAGCTATTATTTATTTAAGCCCCACCCTAATATGTTATAACGTAGAAGTCTGAGAATGCAGAACTCTTAAAACCCATCATGTCCTAGTAAAAGCAGGATTGTTTAAAGGACATGCCAGAAGGTCCTGGGCACCGTTGTGTCCAGGAGGAGAGATGACAGGTCCCCACAAAGGCTCCTGGGAAGAGAAATTTGAACCAAATTTCTACCCCCAAAGTCTTCATCTCTGCATCAGCAGCACATATGCTGCGTGTGGCTGTGGGATCTCCCTCAGATGGGCTTTTCCCACACATTTACCACATCAGTCCCAGAAGATGAGAAAGCATCCACCACTCAGAGTCCCTTTGCTCTAGGAGGATATCTGAAACAGTGGCACTGACTCCTAATCCTGTACCCACACTTCCCACAGCCAACGCTGCAGATTTCCAATATTTCATTTTTTAAATATTTGAATCGGTTTAACTAGGATATCTGACAGCCCAGAGGGCTGACAAGAGCAAAATATTAGATTGGTAAATGCATATGGCCCCAACTATCCGCACCCCACTTTTATGGCATATTTCATAGAATCATAGAATATGCTGAGTTGGAAGGGACCCATCAGGATCATCGAGTCCAACTCCTGATTTTTATGCACCTATAAGCTAACTGATACAACCAGAATGATATATATTTTAGAGGCCAAAGAGCAAAGGAGGAAGAATATGATGGATACAGAGACAGCTACTCTAGAAGTCCATATATCATGATGATGAGAACTGATACAGAGGAGCTGACTCGGACCAAGCTTTCCAAATCCTGAACATCCATGAGGAGCTTTGAGGGGTTTCACAGTCTGGGTCAGAGCCAGTTCCCTCCTCACCCAGCAGCCTTCTCTGGAACCTCTTGTTCATCACTCCTGAGTGTCTCTGTGACAAACCCTGGCTTCCGCATCACTGTAGAAACGCAGTCCCCTGTCCTCTAGGACAAGGACATCCTCACCACGAATGAAACCCCATCAAACAGCACAAAGATGGAGATAACATTCCCATCCTCAGCCCTAAAGAGCTCCTACCTCCTGGAGCATCCCGCTGGTGTGGTGTCCCGCTCCGCCGCCCGCAGCTGGACGTGAACGAAACAGTTAACGGAGCGCCGACGTCAAAGCGGCACGACGTGCGCGGGGCTCTGCGGGGACCGGCTCTGCGGGACCGCGGGGAGCAGTGCCAGGGGCTGCTCCGGGAGCACAGCTCTCCCAGCTTTCCAGCCCCCGCTTCCGCACCGCCAGTGTCCCCGGGCGAGGGGAATACCGGCGTGCGGCCGGGGAACCGCGTGCGGAGCTCAGTGATTCATCCCGGCTTGTGAAAACAGGAGACGTGGAAGTCTCTTTGTTTCTCCGGCTGCCGCACCAGCGAACAGACCTCTCTTTGTGCGGCGCTCGGCTATTTTAAAGCTTATTAAACAAAGGAAGTTACAGCGAAAAGCAAGGGAAAGACTAAACAGCTCGGCACCACTTAAGGGAAACATCACGTAGGAAAGGGACGATATTGGGGGCTGACAGACTGGCAGGAGGGAGGAGGACGAGCGGGGACGTTGTGCAGCCCGGCACATACACCGCTGGCACTTGGCCCCGCGCCGCCCTCGACCTCCACCGCGGACCTCAGCAGTTTACATTAGTGTCCAGATGTTTATTTAGCCACTCTCTCCTGAAAGCGAGGTGCGGCCTTGCTCCTCTTTTCTGACCGAAATGCCCTTTGAAACACAAGCAAAACGAAATCAGTTCTGTTTATGTTAGTTGCTTCTGGCTCACGAGCTACCAAGATACAAGCGAGGAGCCCCGTTGTGCTGCTGCTCCGAGCTGCTGGCTGGACACGGCCCTCGGTGGCAAGATTTGAGTTGTGCTATCCAGCACCTGGGAGTAACAGAGATGTCTTTAAAGACGAAACAAGATAATTTAAGGATTTACTCTGCAGTGGGTGTAGCTGCACGAACAGCCTGGGAAGAGAAGTGGGTTTTCAAAGTCGGAGAGCACACAGCAGGAACTCTCATCACACCATCTCTGTCCACCTAAACTTTGAATATTCCCACAGACCACAAATGACATTATCTGGACTTGATGGACTGCAAAAAGCTCTAAATGAGACTGGTCTAATTTAAGGAGATGAAAAGGTGCTGCTTAGCACCTTTTGGGTGTATCCTGCACGGACAGGGAGGTAGCTCCTGAGAATAATATATTTACTTCATTCCTCAATTTTATCACATTATCCATAAAAACTTGGAGCTGGCAAGACCAGCACTTCATCTGGGAAAGATACTTGTTCCTTCTTATGAATCAGGGGATGCACTGAGCACATCCTCCCTCAGATCCCAAATGCTATATTAGGGAACAGAGCTGAGCAGGTCCTGCATTTCTGTCTGCAGGACAAGTGAGGCTGAGGACAGCTGCCCAATGCCAAACACAAAGTTACAGGGTGGCCACCAAGAGAGAAAATACCCCCTTCCTCATCATCAGGATCTTGAGTCACAAACCCTTCTGAGAAATAGAAGCTGCTTGAGCTGGGAGCTGGAGAGGGTGATAAATGCAGGAATAAAAGAATATATATGTTACAATAACATAAATAAGTGTGGTCTGCTTCCTCAGGCAGCACTGAGTGCCTGTAGAGCTTCTTATAGGTAATTTTGTTTCATTGCAAAGCTGCAGGGCCACATCAGCTCACAGCAAAAGATCAGTATAGCGTTAGGAAAATAAATTCCCTTCATGTCAGTTGCAACCAGGTAATTTTGCAGGTAATTTTTTTTCTCTACTTTAGAAAGGTAAGGGCACTGTGCACAGTCAGTCCTGCAGCTGGAGCCGCGAGGGCTTGGGCTGGTTTGCAGATCAAGCACTGCTCGGATAATGCGTCAGGACTCAGGAACACTGACAGCACTCCAGGGCACAGAGTTCCCTCTTTGCCAGTTTTCTGTCGGATCCCAGCTCGTGGGACTGCAGGTCCCGCTGTGCAAGCGGCAGTGCTCCCTCTGCTCGCACTGATGTCAGCGCAATCGGCTCGTTAGCTCACTGGAAGATTGGCTGCTCATTTCCTCACTCCTCCTGTCATTAACTCACAGCTTAAAAAAGTATACGCACATGTTTTAACCGCTGCTTTCCGAAACCCATCAGCTCAAAGCCAGGATGCCGTCCCGCATGGCGCTTCCCCCCAGCCACCGATTTCTTTCTTGTGCAGGGCTTCTGAGAATCACCCTGCGAACACGTATGCTGAGATCCTCCCTCTCTCTCTGCTGTTGTTGCAACTCTGGATTTTCTAAACTACGTCTGTCAGGAAGGAGACAGGAAATTCGAGTCACACTTGCAACAGCTGTGCCATGCCTACTATCAGTCTCAAATGACGTAGTTTGGCTTGGGTGGCGCAGGGCCAGGAACTGGCGAGAGCGGAGGTCAGGAAGATAGGTCACTGTTTATACTGCTCCTGCACTTGGGAGCATGCCGAGGCTATTTGCTTTCTTCCTATCTATACTGTTTCTCCTTCCGTTTTTCTTTAATAATGTGGAGCCCAAGCATCCTGTTTTCAAAACATCTGACTGTTTTGCTATTTACCGGTGACAAATTGAAATGCCTTTGAGTGAAGCTGGCAGTGGGATACTTGGCATAGGGAAAGACCTGCCTGATGGAGGACAGCTGCAGCCTTCTCATGAAGATGCAGGTTTCCAACCTCGCACTGTCAGACTGTCAGACTGCAGAGTCTGCCACCAAACCCCCAAAACCACAAACCCCTCAAATTATGGGGGGTTGAAACGAGATGATCTTTATGGTCCCTTCCAACCCAAACCACACCATGAATTGTGTCAATATTTACTGCTGCTGAGGAAAGGGAAGCAAGGTGTGAGGCCATTTTATGCTTCTCTTTCACAGATGAAAACTGTGAAACTGGAAGTTGACCAAAAAGCGCAAACATTTCAGAAATGGGTTATGAAAGAACAAAGTTTCAGGAACCTTTAGCTTGACCTAGCTGTAAGTCATCTGCACAAAGAGAGACCACAACTTTTAATTGCTACATAAGCAATTTAGTTAAATCTTTCACCTTCACAAGTCCAGATTTGTCACTCAGCAAAAATAAGTAACCTCAAACTGAAGGGCATCAGTGTCCATATTGGAGGTGCAGCCTAAACCCTTCTCAACTTTCATCCGGCCTTCCTTCAACACAAACTCAAACAAAAAAATAATATTCCTTTCTTGAAAGCTCAACCTATAAAACTTTTACTGCTTCCTTTGCCCCTGCACATCGTGGTAATCACTACCAGAGGAGGAAGCTAAAACAACATGTGATTTATTTGCTTAACTATTTTCCAAAAACTCAGTTTATGATTCAGCATTTCTGATTTCAGTAATTTCCAATTAAGAAAAAAAATAATAATAACATGGGGTTCGTGCAGAACTGGGTTTAAAACCACGGCAGTTGGGCAAAGACGTGGAGGTGGCGGGCATAAACCGCATTCTGAATCCCACAGCCAGAGCGGGATCAGGCTGGGAATGTGGGACTGTGACCGCTTTAGCGGATAACGCGGGGCTGGAACCGCTGTCTTGGATCCTTGGAAGAGGCAGGCACAGGGCTGGGAGCTGCCAGCCCGTCCCGCGGGTGTGCCGGCTCTGCTGGCAGCCCCGGGCAGCGGCGGGGAGGCGGCCGGGCCCCGGGGCAGGGAGAGCAGTCTGCCCGCAGTGGCCGCCCCGCGAGGGACGGGCGGGCTCGGGGAGATGCGGGAGCGAAGCTGGGCTGATGCAGGGGAGCCCGGATCCAGCGGGGAGCGGGGCTGGAACATCAGCTCCCAGAAGTTGCATACAGGCGCTCAGACCTTGCGTTTCGCTTTCCTCCCTCTCTGCTGCTTCTCAGGATACTCCTGGGACTCTGCTCTCCTCCTGACTTTAAACACACTTCAGCACTTTACTCTTCGCAAAAAAACTCACAACTCCCCTTTCGCTCACATTAGAAACCCCGAAAGAGCTGCTGCCCTCAGAGATCGTTCCCTGTGCACCATCCTTCCCTTCGCACCCTCAACATGTGCTGCCAAGTGATGCTGAGCCAGC